CCCTTCCTATTACTTAAATTAAATATAGCTTCTGCATAAATCTAAATTATTTCTACTTCTAGAAAAGTAAATCTTTGATTATATTAATATCGTAGTTAATATATAAATCCTGATTTTATTCTCAAAAAATTATCGTCTATTAAATATTTAATGAAAATTATCTTTTTTAATTTAATAACTTCTTTTTTAAATTGAAGATTGAATTAAAATAATAAATTAATAATATAAAGAGATCCTAGTATTATAACTTAATATTATAGATCACATATCTTTTATTTTGTTTTTGTATTATTTATAATAATATCATTAATTGCCTCATTTTTTAGATAAATTTAAATATTAATATTATTATTATATGGATGATATCTTATCACTTTTTTCAACCCTAGGATATAGGATATAGAGGAGTTATGATAGAGGTAGATCCCTAAGTTCTTCATTCCTTATTGTATCTTTCTAAGTCAAATTAGGTTATATTTATACTAAGTTAGTCAGCCATATTCTCTCTGTTTTCACCTCTCTCTTCTAAAATTATATTTCTATGCTGCACAGAGGGTTTAAAGAATTTTGTTTCCAAGATAACAGTTCAATATAAGAGTTGATAAAATATATATATATATCTATCATCAAAATGTGATTACATAAGCTTTCCTGTCTTTTCCTTTTTATTAAACATAAAGTGGAATATAAGTAATAAGTTTTAGCTCATCTCATCCGTTTAGAAGTATCTCAACCGTTTGATATCATTTCTAAATCAGGGTGGAGTAGCTCAATATTAATATTAACTCTAAAAAGATGTTATTTTATGACTAGATCTTAAAATAATAATTTATATATAAATTATTTTCCTTATTAGTAAAATATTTATAAAGTATTTTTTCTTAATTAAATATAGTCAATTATATAAGATGATTGAAATGGAAAATATAATAATCTTTGTTATTCTAAGTTAGATCTAATAAATTAAATCTTGAAACATTCTCATCAAAATAATAAAAAAGGCCATATTGAATCTCAAAAGAGTCAGTGTATGAAAAAATATGCATCGTCATATTTTTCAATATTAGAGTCAGAGTTAATACAAGTTTTTTATTATAATTCAGTATCATTAAACTTAATTGATAAGTTATGAATGAATTTAAACATTTATCCTGTTTGTGTGTACATTTTAGAAATACTTAATTAATATCAGAGAATATCAAAAACAAAAATATTTTGTTAGCCATTATGTAATATACAATTAAGCATCTAACATATTCACATTACAAAGGAGTTTTAAAAGAAATTATATTTTCGTACTAATTATAACCGAAATCATATGAATTGAATAATTATGATAAACTCTAGAAACATTATAAAATTCGAAAAAAGTAAACACTTTAAATAATAAAAATCCTTCTAAATACTGCATAGCTTTTGATAAGATTATTATACTAAAGAATCACGTTAAATTTGTAGATTCATATAAAAAGGTTGAGAGATTCATATATATTATTTTTAAGCACTGATTTTATTTTATACGT